ACACATAACACTCGAATTTAACTCCGAGGTTTTCGCATTTATTTATTCAATCATTGAATTAGTTATTTTTCTCTATTAAATTTCTAGGCTCATAATGGTCGAGAAGGTTTTGTTGGACGATTAATGCAAGAAATAAAAGTTGATTCATATGGAGCTTGTTTAAATAATCGTCATGGTTATGGAGCTCGTATGCTAGATAATTTTGATGCATATAAAAAATATAAATTCGTGATAGCTATTGAAAATTCAAATTGTCTTGATTATGTTACTGAAAAATTAGTTTTAGCAGTACGCTCAGGTTCTATACCTATTGTTGCTGGTTCTAATGGTCGTTCAGATTATCGACGATATATGCCTGAACATTCGTTCATAAATATATTTGATTATTTATCAATAAAAGATCTTGCTAATGATTTAAAACGTATTGGAAATAATAAAACATTATATGAATCTTATTTATGGTATAAAAAACATGATAAAGATATATCAAAATTAAAAGAACTTTCATTGAATGAAAAATTAAAACATTTTGCTGATGTTATTGGTTCGAATGCAACAATGCTTACAGATGGAATTGCAGGAAAAGAAAAAAGTGAAAATAAAGTTTGTAAACTTATTCGATTTGTTCGTCAAACATCTTGGCAAGACATTGCTGCACATAAAAGAACAGGAAGAGCAGATTCGAGTATTGCTTGTTTACGAGGTCAATATATCTTAACTCATTTTGATTCAGCGTATACGAATAACAGTGAATCACGTAAATCATAATGATTATCCTTTTGTTGATTGTGTAAAAAACACTAGGCTTGTTCTTTTTGTTTGTTATCATATTCATTTTTGTTTTATTTGAAATATTGTTTGGAATTTGATTTTTTTTCAAGTCTGATGACTGATGAAAATATAAGTATAAACCAAAAAATAAATAAATTCATATAACCTCCAATTAGATTTGTTTCCCGTAGGAAACGGAGTCATGTCATACTGTGCAAAACCTAATGTCACGAAAAGCTATAGAGTATATGATAGTGCTACTTGTCATCAATCTTAAAAGATGAAAACAAGAACGAGAGTTCTGGAAAATCTTACTGATGGATATGTCAGCTGCTCGACTGACTAGTCGCCAATGATGGCTGTGACCGCAAATAATTGCTGAAAGCTTCAACTGCTACGGCTAGTGAAATGAAAAAAGATTGCAGTGTGCGTGTTATTCTCCTCTTTTTTCATTCGAAAAGTAAGAAAATTTTCAAAGAATTTCAGATTTTACCTTAAAGCTATGCAGCAGCTTATACCTCTGCTTACGGAAACGGGAATCCAGAATATTACTTTTCGCAGCATACTAAAAGACTCACAGATTAACGGAATAGACATTACATGACTAATATCTCAAATCAAGTTTGTCATTATATTTCTATAAACAATGATAATGTATAGGAAAGTAAAAATTTCTTGTCGTGTACATATCAAAGATGAAGGTAAACTGCATCATCTGTGAATGAATATAAATTTCATAGTATTAATATGAGATTTTTCAGTGAATATGATTGTTAAAAATTGTGTATTTTTATAGTTACTAGAATTTATCTAATTGGTTTTCAATTCTTCTTGTTCCATATACTTAAATGACGAACCAACAAAACATGATATTTCTTATTCAATAATTCCTTCGGATATTGCAGAAAGTATTCTTAGGAAGATAATAGGCAAATTTTCTCACAAATTTTCATTTGCAGCGTTGCAATTTTTGGTAAATGCTAAATATTCTAATAAATTTATAATGCCTTTAAATGTAATATAGTAGAATGTTCTATAGCTCTTACGTTAGTATACATTACTAAGACTTAAATTTATTTATTATCAAAGTAAAATAATGTATCTAATTAGGTTTTTCTCTTGATCTCGAGTGATCTAAGTAATGTCTGATATAAACAGTATATTGACATATTTATAACGAGTTAACTATTATATTTTTGTTTAAAACACAACTATCTATCAAATAATATATGGAAAAACTATCGGAACTTGATGACATATATGTGTACATTGTCGTAAAAGATTGGTTTTCATCTAGCCTCATTATTTTTATTAATTATGATATGCCATATCTAGTCAAAGATCAAAGTAGTTTGAAATATTACATGAAAATATTAGAACTTACAGAAATTATAACCTCTAGAACCGCTAAAAATTTCAGCTTAAATTATGTATATTTTCTAATTAGGTTATATTTTTCTAAGAACGCCCATCATTAAGCATTGGTCTACGATGGTAGAATGACATTTTTACAATAAATATTTTTTGTTTTCATGAACTTAAACTGATTGGCAGTAAATCGTTCGATGATGTATCTTGAAATTCTTGAAAAACTGTACAAAACTATGTATTTTACAGTTGGAAATCAATTCTCATTGTAATAAAAATATAGTTAAAGTACTAGAAATTCACCTTTTAGTGACACTTGTATGCTTCGACATCTTTCACAGATAAGTCAGAACGAACTGTCGTTTCCGTGAAATTAAAAAGTTTCGAATGATAGTCTATCGTTAAATATATTTAAATTGACAATAAAAATTTTAGCGGTAGTTAGTTTAGTCGATGCTCTAACGAATCTATCGGGAAAAGTTCAAGTGTTGTATTTAGATACGTCAAATACTGCGAATATATCTTCAAATAAAATATAATTGTATGTTGTAGATCCGATAACCTTTATTTCATATGAAAAAATATTCTATGTAGTTGCTTCCATAAACATAAACGAAGAAAAATGGGACATCTCAAATTCTACAAACAAGTAAGTGAATCACGATTCACTTGGTGTCTTTCTGCATCCAAAAAAGTCGATCGGTTTTGCTTGTTAATGATGACGCTAGAATGGAACGTTCAGACATCATAATTTTTTGGACACATACATGACTGCTTTTTTCATCACGATAATAGCGTCTCCAGATATGATCTCATATTCGGAATCGAACCGACTCAATGAGTTTGCACCTGGATCCATGCTTTGTTTTCTTTAGAATATTGATATAATATCGGCTGGCGAGACTTCACGAAGATTTGTTCAATCAATTTGTGTTTGACAACTTAAATTGCACCACATGGTTTTTATGTAGTTATTTTTAATCCAGAAAAAATGCTGAAGAAAAGAACCTATTCATGAAAATATAGCACCGTCAAGTTCAACCAATATATGGTTACATAATGAACACTGTTGCTATGTAGTGTATTGTTTTCTGTTGAGGAGGCTTCTTCTATGTTTATGAAAATTTATCAAATATTCTTCCTTATTTCATCTATTATATGATCTAACTTTTCAATTTCAAATAATGTTTTTTTCAGGCACAATAAGTTGAATAAAAATTATTATTTCGTTTGTCTTTTTATCATATAAAAGTTATAAATAGAAGAAAAGTAAAAGATAGCAGATCAGAAGATGAAGATACTGGAAGAACTGAAAATTTACCATTCTTCATCTATATTCGATCTGTTTATCTTCTTCTGTTCTTTCATTTGTCATTTCAACAAATGTTCATATAATTTATATATGATAAAACATCAATCGAAATAATAATTTTTATTCAATTTATTGTGTCTAAAGAAGATATTCTTCGACGTCAATACTCTACACCATATAAATTCATAGATTACATAAAGAAAAATTGATGGATAAATTTAGATAAATATGCCTATGCGGAGTTGATAAGCGGTAAGATAATTACTGATTCACTCTTTCTGTCAAAGTTGTTTTTTTTTAATTCATTATATGATAGTCTTTGAAATTTAACGGATTTAATTGTTCCCTATATTTATGACTTTTCACATAGAATAACATAATTCATCATAATCTAATCAAGTTTTTTATAACAAGTTGGTTAGTATGTTCGAATAAATTAAATGTTAACACTACATTTGTTTACATCAGTTTCTGTTTAAATTAAGCATAAAAAGCTATATATATATATAATTTTAATGATTCAATGGATTTAATTCATTAATGTGTTTTTCTGTTTAATAAAAGTAAACCATTTGATAACTAGATTTTTAAATTCCAATCGAAATGATCGTGATGTTGATAAATAAATCCAAAATGAAAGACCATTGTTAAAATAGAGTAAGAATACACGAGTAAGGAAAAAAATGAATGATTCCATATATTGACGTTCACCACTATGCACTGTATTTTGAACCACTGCTTTATATATGAGTACAACTGTATTTGGTATAGTTGTACAAATGTAGATAATCAATTCCGTGAGTAACATTCTCAACATATCTCGATCTCGTTTTCTAAGAATAGTCATAGTATTTCCATTATTAAGAGAGCGAGCACGAGCACGTACCTCTTTCAAATTCATCACCATTAATATTCCAAAAGTAATCAAACTCACTAATGGAAAAATGCCAAGAACTGTCATGATATAACCCGAGTACAATATATTAGGTAGACCATTATTTGCATCACATACACCATTGGTAACGGAATATAGCATTGTTGGAAAGATGCCTAACAAAAGCCAAAAAAGTATCATCAATGGTATAATACGAATTGCCACTTGATATCGACTGAACGAACGAATATATACTCGATTGCTGGAAGTAGCATAACGATCAACACAAGCCAGAACAAGAAATGTTCGCATTGATTGACTAAATACATGACGAAGATAATATTGTAGTTTACAAAAAACAAGAGAATAAGAAAGTGGATTTGGATGATCTAATGCATAAATGACAGGTATCACTGCACTATTTAAACCAATAGAACTACAAAATGACATGAATAAAATGTAGAGTGAACAAGAATTACGACGATGTGCCGATTGACTAAAGATGAGTATATTAAAAAATAAGCCAATATTTCCAAATGTAACATATGTTGTCATTCCATAGCGTGTAAGATATTTTTGTGCAATGACAAGTGATGAGGCTGATAACGACATAACTAAAATATGGATTAATTGGAAAAAGAATTTTATTCGCCATAAATGTATAGAAAATAGATAGAATAAGAAAATAGGTAGGCGTCAACCTACAATACTAACTATGCAAGAGTAGGATATTTGTTTTTTCCTTCATAAACGATAAAAGAAAAAAGAAGTGATTCTCGAAAAAAAAAATAGTTAACGTTCATTGAAGCGCAAGCATAATAGTATAGTAATGAATTACCTATCCTTCGCTAACTTTTAATTATGATGAACAAAGGAAGCCGAAAATCGAAAGTGTTCTATCATTGAGACTGAGATAATTGCTGTCGATGTGGCGCAAAGACAAGTTAAAATATAATTAGAATATTTGAATGTTAATGTATGACTGACAATTTTGAAATACAAATTATTTTCGATAATATTTATTAATTAAACAAAATGTCGTGCTGTATATAGTTTCCTAATTGATGAAACAAAATCTCGAAATTCTATTGAAACTAACAAATATCAATAATTAATACGAGCATGTCTTTACATTTCAACAATAAAAAAAAGACTTTTGAATATAAAGTGAAGTTGAATAATCGATGGATAAAATTCTCATTAAATACAAAAAAAGTAGCATGTTTTTTTTTTATAGAAGTTCGATTGAAATATAAAAACTTCAGTAAATATTACTGGCTAAAACAATAGTTCATATCCATTAAAAAAAAAAGAATCTATTATTTCTGCAAGTAACTTTCTTACTAAAGTAAGAAGATAATTGGAGATAACATATTTTTGCATCCATTTATTAAACTTATCTAACAATATGAAAGGAAAAGATGATATGATAAAGTAGAAAATATGACATTCTCACGTCTCCTTTGGTCTTAAAACTTGACAAGTATTGTGTCTCTGAGCATATAATTTCAAAAAAAAAAAAAACTATTTGAATAAATCTGTGCTTTTTCAACAGACACTTAATTCAAATTAATTGGTTTATTGCTTAAAAATTAATTAACAAATAATTTTCTAACCAACTGAGAAAAAAAGATTCAAGAACTGCCGAATAGACTCGACACTAAGAACTGTTTCTATGGTAAAATTTTCAGTAAGATTGGACTCTAAAAACTTTCATCTTTAAAAGAAGTTGCCTACGGATTGTGTCATGTTTCGGAGCGAAACTTATCTTTTGTTACTATCATTTGAAAATTCTCAAAATAGACTCTGTGCTCTTAAGAGTTTATTTTGCACTTTTAATTTAGTTATAAAAACTTTTTTGTTTTGTTTTTGTATTCGCACTTTATCACGTCGCTAACAAAATAAAGATTATATTTTTGGAAAAATCTCAGTAATGTCAAACATAAAAGTTGAGTTCCATTAATGAAGATTTTTCATATATTCCAACTATTCTATTTTCACAGCTTTGATAGCTGAACGCGACTGACATTAATTTTGACTTCCTTTACGGAAGTCTAAGATCTTGAAATAGCATACGTTGTAGAGAATCGTGTTCTGACTAGAGACCTGCGGGACAAACTTTTCTATGTCCCGAAAAATCCCGTTTGTCCCCTACACGGAAAAAAAATAAAGATATGGTTTTGTTCAATAGCAGTACGCGTCTTCTATATACACTCAATCGAAACAATTTATTCATATCTATGATTATGAGAT